CCATGACTACCCATACTTGTGTAAGTTCCACTCAATCACAAGACCACCGAAAACTCAACCATGATCTAATCTGTCAAGAAATCCTACCCCTGGTCAGCAACGACCCTTCTTTGAAGGTGAAAACAATCATCTCCCACATCACCACGGTTTTTAACTACACTCCGTCTTACCGTAAGGCGTGGTTAGCAAAGACTAAGGCGATTGAAAGGGTGTACGGGAACTGGGAGGAGTCATACCGAGAACTTCCACGCTACCTAAATGCACTCAAGACATATTCTCCAGGTAGTGTTTATGTTCTGGAAACATTGCCAGCGTACGCCCAAGATGGTAGTCTACTACATAGCAACGGAATATTCAGTCGCGTCTTTTGGGCATTTCAACCATGCATCACAGGGTTTGCTTCATGCAAACCAATTCTACAAATAGACGGGACTTGGTTGTATGGGAAGTACAAAGGCACGCTTTTGATGGCAGTTGCACAAGATGGCAACAATAACATTTTCCCCGTTGCGTTTGCCCTTGTCGAGGGGGAGACCGGTGGTGCTTGGAGCTTTTTCCTGAAAAATCTTCGTACACACGTGGCTCCTCAACCAGATCTCTGTTTGATCTCGGACAGACATGCCTCCATTGAAAGTGCCTATAATAACCCGGCAAATGGTTGGCATGACCCTCCTTCTACGCATGTCTATTGCGTCAGGCATATCGTCCAGAATTTCTCGAGGGAGGTCAAGGACAAAACATTGAGGAAAGCGGTGATGAATGCGGGATACGCACTGACACAGCCCACATTCAAATATTACCGCAACGAGATCCGTTTGTCTAACCCAGAAGCCGGTACGTGGATCGATAATATACCGGTCGAAAAGTGGACTAGGTCATACGACAATGGCCAAAGATGGGGGCATATGACAACAAATCTTATTGAATCAATGAATGGGGTATTCAAGGTCATACGAAACCTCCCCATCACTGCCTTGGTGAAATCCACGTATTTTAGGATGGCTGCGTTATTTTCCAAAAGAGGTGAAATGTGGTATGCGGTCTTGCAATCAGGACAACTATGGAGTAAAAGCTGTATGAAATACATTAAGGCTGAAAGTGCTAAAGCCAACACTCACATGGTTACACGGTTTGACCGCCATAGCCACAACTTCATTGTGAAAGAGACAATTGACCACAATGAAGGCCTGGCAAGACAAGAATACAGGGTTATTTTACCTTCTCAATGGTGCGATTGTGGCAGGTTTCAAGCTTTTCGTATGCCTTGCTCTCATGTCATTGCCGCTTGTGCGCATACCCATCAAGACGCGCTTCAACTGCTCTCAAACGTTTATAAATCTGAAACGTTGCTCACTGTTTACAACAACAACTTTCCTTTGGTGGCAAAACTGGACTATTGGCCTGAATACAACGGTGATATAGTTTGGCACAATGACCAAATGCGAAGGAACAAGAAGGGTCGTCCCAAAAGTAGGCGCATAACAACAGAAATGGACGATCTTGACAGGTTGGAAAGAAAGTGTGGTTTATGCCGTCAGGTCGGACACAATCGCAAAAACTGTCCGAATCGGGCGTCTGGCTCGACCACATAAATTTTGTAATACATTAAATCTTTTCAATATTTGTGTTGTAAACATTATGGGTTTTCCGTTAATAAAACTGTTCACACAATTTAAGAAATTCAATATAGGAAATTACATTAGGGTTTTCGCGTACAACAATGATTAACGATATTCAATCTAGGAAATTACAACTGTTAACACAATTTCATCTTACCCATGCATCATCAGCATTACATCACTGTCTGTTTTGACTTCCTCCAACCACACATTAGGTCTTCCTGTCGCATGCGAGGTTGTTGTTCGTTTTCGCTGGATCCTTCGAATTTTTTCCCCCTCGGCGATGTCTCCATCTAGCCACCGCATCAACTCCCGCTTCAGACGCTCCATGGAGTGAATGTGCCAGAATTTCATTTTCATCGCAGGTTTCGTGGCGGAGAATATAACGTAACCATCTCTACTAAAAATCATAGGCGACGTCATTACGTAAATAAGGGAGTACAAAAATAAAAATACAGTGCGAGAAAGTGTGAGAAATTTCAAAGAAACGGACGAATTATTTATAAAACAGCAAAAAACCCTAGTTTTGCCCTAGGCGCCAAGTGAGATGGCGCCTCCTCTTCTTTTTAAGGAGCATGCGCCATCTCACTTGGCTAAATGCCAAGGGAGGCGCCAAGTGAGATGGCGCCTAGGGAAAAACCCTAGGTGCATGCGCCAAATGAGATGGCTCCTCCTTTGTGGAGCCATCTGAAACATGGTTATTTGCGTAATTTTTTCCGAAACCCGGTTATTTGCGAAATATTTTTTTAATACATGGTTATTAATAAAAAAAATTCTAAAACTGTTTCTATTATAGACTGCTTTATTAAAAAATCCTTTTACAAATTATAAGTAAATTAAAGAAAAAGTGTTTGTTATGATAAAAAAAGTTTTGGCTGGACAGAAAATGTTTTTGTAATACAGTGAAGGCCCAATCCAGATTAGAGTAAAAAGCAGGTTGTTTTATTTATTGGGAAGAAACTGTGTTAAGGCCCAAATTCGTTCATCCAATGTGCTGGGTTAAGATAGTTACGCAGGCCCAAATTCAAAGTAACAGCTATTGTTCCAATCAACGAGGAAAAGGTGCACGTTTTTTTATCATTAACTAGTATTGTACAGATAGAATGAAAATCAAATCTTTTTATAACAAAAAAACACAACATCGAATCTTGCTTCAAATCAAAATCCCATAATTAGTACAAAATCAGTGTATTGCAAGATCGAATCCGGTATGAACAAAACGAAATCAAATCTCAAAATTAACTACAATTCAAATCAATTAGATATTACAGCATGTATTTCAAATCAATTACAATAA